CCCTGCTCTAGAAATAGGCTGGCACTTGTGGTACAGAACTTGGCGAGACCCTCTTTTACTATGTTATATAACCCCAGTGTCCACAATGGGGGGCCGTTTTGTTGATTTCCCTGCATTTGATTTTTTAAAAATCTGTCTTCTTAGCCAATGGGCCTCTTATATAGAGAATGGGCAGATCACAACCCAGTTCCGTGCACAGCAGTGGGGCCTCACCTCTTCCCAGAGCATGGTCTTCCCAGAATAGCCCTTTTGTCTGGGCCTGCAGAGTCTGGAATTGTCCCTGCTTGCCTGGAGTAATAATGCTGCTTGTTTCCGTTATTCCCGTCTACGCTGCCGGTTACTTACTTCTACTCTTGGAGCAGAAGTCCTGCTTCCTTGGCCTTCCTGCTGGCCTAGTGTCCTGTATAGCAGGAGAGTAACTGGCCTCGGGGCATGTGTATGGAAGGATATGGCCTCTGTCTAGTGCAGCTGGAAGTGGGGGATGGGAGAACCTGGCGGAGATCATCCCTTCCAGCAGCCTGCTCGGTGCAGGGACACCTACGTACTTTCTACAGCACCCCGACTGCTTCTCATTCTCCAGGGTCCGGGCATGTAGCTCATGGACAGTGACTGTTCTGCCCTTCTAGCCCTATGCTCCGGCACTAAAAATGCTTCCCCCCAAGGGTTCTGGTTTGAGCAGCCAAACCTGCTCTTGTATCCCCCAACAGAATAAGAAGAGGACAGCCTACCAAGAGGGCAGCAGAGGACTCCGGTCTCTAGTTGCCATGTGGCAGGCTGCAGAGCTGGGGGCTCCCCAGAATTGCCTAGCAGCTTTGGTGAGGTTGCAGGTGCCTGGGGGGGAGGAGAAACAGCTGACTCTGGGCCGTTCACTGTGATGAGTGCAGCTTAGTGGCCAGGCAGGGTGGGGAGCTGGGATTTGTAAATTTTTGAATGCTGAAGGTCTGTGGGCTCCTAAGCAGGGAGTTGACTGCTGTCAGGTCAGAGTAGATTGGGTTTCAGTCTTGACTGCAGGTTAGGAGCAGCAGGCTGATCATCTAACCTCTCTGAGTCTGTTTCCACCTGTAAACTAGAGATGGCAGCTCTTGCCCCCGAGGCCTGGTGTGACTGCGAGGTGTTGCTGTGTCACTCTGCCGCCGAGTGGGTGCTTGACAGAGGGTCTGTTACTGGTGTGTTCTGTACAGCAGGCGGAGGGGCCTGGGGGTCTGCAGGCCTGTGTCTTTGAAACTGGTGTTTATTAACATGGTTCAAAGATTGCTAGAATGGGAAACTTGTTCTCAGACTGCTTGGTCAAGCCTGAACCTTACCAACAATGAAAGCTGCACTTCCCTCAAAACCGCAAAGGCTAGTCTATTTTTTTAGCAAGCTCCCTTTTCCGAGAGACAACAAGCATCTTTGCCTTTATTGCACTGGTCTAAGATGACAGCAGTTCACAAAGGGCATGCTGATGCCACTCTCTCCCCTAGCCCTGCCCTCCCAGCACTGGCCCGGTCCTTCCTCCTGCACAGCTGGGGAAATTTCTCTCCTCACGTGCTCTGGACCCCACAGATTCTCAGCTCCAGGTTCCTCAGATTCTTAGCTTCTTTCATTATCTTGCCTCTGTATCTGCACTCTAGCAGCCATTTTCATTGGAATACTAACACCCACCTTCTCTTGATCTTATTTCCATGCAATCCACTCTTCACTTACTGAACCGTAGGAATCATCCTTGCTTAGGATGATTCTGATAGCCAATCCATAGGTAAGGCCTGTTGGTTCTACCTCCACAGTGAGTATCTTTGTGCACAGTTTGAACCATTGAAAGTTTGCTAACTGATCACTCTGCCTTTTCTTCTTGTTCCCCTAAGATTCAGTCTCCATAGTGTGAGCTTTATCAGACATTCCCCTGCTTAGAAGCCTTTGTTAGCTTCCCATTGCATTTTGAATAACACCCAGAATCCTTCCCCATGGTTTATGAGCTGCCCTTCCCTCCCTGCACCACCCCCCCACGTCCCCCACCCCCTCCATACACCTCACGTTAAGTCATTCCTCAGAAAAGTAAAATTTTCTGTCTGAAACTCTTCCCATAGTCTGTTCTTACTGGCTGGAATGCTTTTCTCTACACTTTTCAAATTTTTACTCCTCAGCCCCTTAGCTTTCTGCTTGAGAAGGACCTTCCCCAACAGCCTATAATCCAGTATCTTCCTGTTTTTCTTATCTGCATCCTATTCATTTTGGTTCACCAAACTCATTCTGATTCAGTTACATATCTGTGTATTTACTTATTTCCTGTCTCTTCCGTTATCATATAATCTCTAAGGGATGTGATTGTGTTGTCAGTGCCTAGCAGAGTGCATGTTGCAAAGGAAAAACTCCGTGCATGACATAATGTACCAATAACCGGGAAGGGGGGCTGGTTTCCCAAAGAAGGCTGTGGTAGCTGCTGTCCTCTTGTGTGCAGTTGCTTTACACTAGCCAGGACATTTTCACATACAAGCATCGATAGGACAGCATCCAGTGACTCTAAGGAGTCAGGTGTAGGTAGGTCTGTGTTGTCTCAGACTCGTGGGAAGCCCTTCTGTGTCAGCATGTACGGAGTACTTCATGCCTAACATTGTTTTAAAAAGAAAAACCAAGAAAAATAAGCAACAGCATAATGTGGTACAAAGAACACAGGCTACAAAGTCTTGATTTTGCCTTTGACCTTCCTTACCCAAAGATTTTGTGTCTCTCTTTTCCTTATATGCAAAATAAGTGATGTTGGGCTAGAAGAGATAAAAGTTCCTTTCCAATTAGTATGAGTCGTTTTTTGGCTGCAGGTACATAGTGGCTCAAGCAATCAAGATATTTATCTCTTGACACAAAACTATAGAGCCATTTTATTTTGGGGTTGCTATAGTGGTTCACAGATAGAATCAAGGACCTTGGTGCTTTGCTTTTATTTTTGTCTTCAGCTTTGTCACCACGGTCAACAGCTGGCTGCTGCAGCTCTGGGCACCACAACCTCCCGTAAGAATATCAAAGTAGAAAGGGCTGGGCATAGGCAAGAGCTCTCTCTCCTCAGAGATCACTTCCTTTCATCAAAAAGTAAAACCCTTCCTGGAAGTGTCCTTGTAGACTTCTTTTGCACCACTGACCAGAAGTGCCTCACATAACCTACCCAGACCACTACCAGCAGTGGACAGAAACACTGCAGTTTGCTTGTCCAACAGTACTTCAGACGCCAGCGCTGGCTTGTCAAGCAGGGTGCTTCCTGGGTCTGACATCTTGTGATTCTAAGTGTTTGGTGCTTATCCCGCAGGAACTAATTGTAGTTTTCATGCCTCATATGAAGTAACAGACACGAATACCACTTTTACATTCCTGAATGAGTAAAGAAGCAGAATAGGTGTATTTATAGTCCAAAAAGTGAGTAGCCAATAAATATTCAGTGAGCAACTGCAAGTGATTGCAGTAACAGTCCCACAATTTAGTTGCCTCTTGCTGAGAGCTGCTATGAGGCAGCAGAAAAGATAAGGTGTTACGTCAATATGAGACGGGGTCGTTAACTCCCTCAGCAAACCTGTGCCAATTCTCCTGCCTCTCCAGATCATAAGAATTCCTAATAAGCAGATTTTTAAAAGCTATTTGATAAATTAGGTAACAAATGAGGAATATATTTGTAATGGCCATGTTAAGAAGTTAGTATGGGCCAGTAGGGATATCAGTGCAAAGGATCATGGTCCCAGTACTTAAGAGGTGGACGTTCTAGTTGAGGGAAAGCACATGTAACAGATTAACAGGCTCTATGACAGGTATGGGGTCGAGGATGAGAGTGACTTGACCAAGAGGTAATCAGGGAAGAAAGTGACTCTTGAAACAGGAAAGTACTTTTCTGATGGTGCAAGAGGCATGAGTCAGAAGGGAGCCGCTGGGGAGGAATGGTAGGGACAGGGTGTGTGAGGCTGAGGCCTGGAGTGCCCCTGTGGGCCATGCTGGGCCATGCAAGGTGTTATCTTGCAGTTAAAGGAAGTTGGACAAGTCTGAAAATAATGCGTATCAGATCATTTCCCAATTTTCCTCCCAGACATTACAGAAAGACTATTTTTGTTTACATTGGAAATATGTTATATGGACTGGTTATTAATGGTAGTTTTGCTATAAGCCATACATATATGGATTAATTTATATTGTAAAATGTCTAAAGTGTGTATTGTGAGTTCTTGTTACTTAAAATAAGATTCAATGATTTAAAAATTACTGAAATTTGTTCACTATTACTATTTTCCAGTTTCTAATCAACACTGTTGCTAGGAGGGACAGTAGGAACATTACTAGACTCTTGATCTCTGTTTTACAGAGGTATTCAGGGATGATTCTTCCCATACTGAGAGGTAAACTTGGTGTTGTTTGTGGGACATGAGGCGTCTCACTCAGAGCCACCAGGTAGTGCTGACTGCTGCGGGCTCTGATTTCAGTCTAGTGTCTCCTTATCATGAAGCCTTCCTTGACTGATCTCTTTGACATTAGCCCCTAATAGTCCTGATCCTCCTTACTCTGCCTTTTCTTCATTCTACACTTCTTCTAACATATTATGTAAACTACTAACTTATTGTATTTGTTATTATGTTTCCCCCTACTAGAATATAATTCCCTTAATGGCAGAAATCTTTTGTGTTCTGGTCAACGGTCTATCTCATCCACCAACAACAGTGTCTTAGAAAATACCTAGACTCAAAAGGTCAGTGTGCAGGTTGTCAGGAAGCACCCTTGTAAGTCTTCTCCACTTGTTCTCATTGGCTATGATTTACCACTCAACAGAAGTGATTCATAAGTCAAGAATGAAGACCTTATGGAGCTTGGTTAGAGCAAAGCTGTTCATACTTGTTGCCATGTTGTGCTGAAAGTAAAAGCATGGTGCCCTTTGAGGGTGAGCCTCACACCTTGTTAGGGCCAAAGACCATGGAAAACCAGGTGGAGTCTTCAACTTTGGCTGCAGAGGACTATAATCTAATAATGATAATTAATGATGTTCTTTCAAACAGGTATAGGAGTTTGGTCACTGGGACCCGAGCAAGAAGAGTCATTGCTGTCCTCTGGGTCCTAGCCTTTGGCATTGGATTGACTCCATTCCTGGGATGGAATAGAAAAGACATGAATAACCAAAATTGCACGGAGTCCTTGAATGCAACCACAAATGAAAGCTACTTCCGCCCATGTTTGTTTGAGGATGTGGTATCCATGAGCTACATGGTGTATTTCAATTTCTTTGGGTGTGTCCTACCCCCCCTTCTCATAATGCTGGTGATCTACATGAAGATCTTCACCGTGGCCTGTAGACAGCTTCAGCGCATTGAGTTGATGGACCACTCCAGGACCGTCCTCCAGCGGGAGATTCATGCAGCCAAGTCCCTGGCCATGATTGTTGGGATATTTGCTATGTGCTGGCTACCAGTACATGCCATCAACTGTATTACTCATTTCCTACTAGACAAGCCTAGTGATAAACCCAAGTGGACAATAAACATGGCTATTCTCCTATCACATGCCAACTCAGTTGTCAATCCCATTGTCTATGCTTACCGGAACCGAGACTTTCGCTATACTTTTCACAAAATCATCTCCAGGTATGTTCTCTGTCAGACAGATGTCCTCAAGAATGGGAACAGACAGGCGGGCACACAGCCTGCTCTTAATATGGGCCTATGACCTAGGCTCTGGCCTTTTCAAGAAGGCACAAATTCACAATAAACAAAAGGACAGGACATAACTGATTCTCATTGTGAAAGACAATTACACCTCATAAGCATATGGGCTGCTTCTTTTGAATATTTCTCTGGAATTGTCATTTATCTGGTTAATGTGTACATGTTAATAGTAGGCTCCAAGGGTTGACAAATGTTTTTATGGTTCTGGCTGGCTGCTTTTACTGTGTAGATGATGTTGATGGCTTGAATAGATTGTAAAAGACTTTGAGTCTCACTCTTTCATGGTAGCAAATGATTGAAACTATTTTACTGTGAAACACTGTGAATTATTATACAAATATTTTTAATTTAGAAGCAATGGAAAAATAAAAATTTGACATACTAAAAATATGCCTGTTCCTAGGGAGGTGACAAGGGAAATTAAAAGTATACTTCTTTAATAAAGAAACTTGTTGTTTTTATATAGAGAAATAACTCTAAAGTTCTTCAGTGAAATATCAGATGAGAAGAAAAAACTTGAGAAATGAGATCCCTTCCCTAGAACATTCCTTTCCCCCTTTTTCTCCTGTTAGAGCTAGGTAGTGAAATTTTTTACTTCTCTGTCAAAGTCAAGTTTGGCCAAGTTGCTGGAAACGAAGTGAAGTTTTTACTAAGTGAAATTGTATAACTGTGTATATATATATATTAGGTGAAATCAAGTCCAGGTTTCCCAAGTAGTAGAGAAATCTTGGTAAGTTTTATTTGCCAACCACAGAACACTGCACCGGTGATCTGTGGCCTTTTTCACACAGACTTACGTAGAGGCACCTCACATTTCTGGAGCACAGGCTTGGAGGTTTCCTGGGCTGTAGAATCACTTGTTTCATATGTCTATTCACTGCGTCACTTTCTTCTGCAATATCCCAGCAAGGATGCTGCATGTTTACAAAGCTGTACAGAGACAGGAAGTCTTCTCTGTGCAAGATCTTCTTATGGGTGAAATTTCTCTCGTTTTCATCAAATCCTTTGATCTCTCGGGATGCAACTGAGTACCATTTATCTCACTTCTAACTCTTATCTCTTTTTGCTTTTTCTTTCTTCATACTAGAAACTAATAATAGTGGGTTTAGTTTCCTTCTAAGACATGATTTTTTCTCTTCAAAAAAAAAAAAGCTCATAAATACATGTAGAACCAAACCAGCACATCCCTTGTTTTACTTTTTAAAAAGAATTTATTAACTATTTACATTTTTATTCATTTTAAAGCAATGTTTTACTTCCCCCTCCCTCAATTCGCCCACAAGTCATCACCACAGTTCCCCACATTCCTCCCTCCCTCGTTGTGAAAGACAATTACACTCATAAGCATATGGGCTGCCTCTTTTGAGCATTTCTCTGGAATTGCCATTTATCTGGTTAATGTGTACATGTTAATAGTAGGCTCCAAGGGTCGACAAATGTATTTATGGTTCTATCTGGTTGCTCTTATTGTGTAGATGATGTGATGGCTTGAATAGATTGTAAAAAACTTTTTTAAAAATTGTCTTACACTTCCTATCCTCCTCCCTCTCCACCCCCTGTAGGATATCTCTGGTTTATAATTGTTTGTTTTTGTTTTGTTGTGTTTTGCATTGTAGTAACAATATATCCCCCCCCATACCTCATTTGGTTCTCTTATATTCCTCCTATAAGTGAAACCATTTGATATTTTCCTTTTTCCTTCTGACTTATTTCACTGAGCTTGATCCCTTCCAGCTCCTTCCATTATATATATATAACACATCTTCTTGATCAGTCATCTAATTTTGGGCACTTGGGTTGTTTCCATGTTTTTTCTATTGTAAATAGTACTGTAGTCAACATAGGATGCATGTAGATACTGCTTTTCTTAAAATATAACATACTTTAACTATTTTGGTACCAATACCACAGATATCTGAAGCTTACTGGAACCACAACCCCTAAATCTTTTTATATTTGCTGTGATAGCAACATATGTTTCTCATCTCTTATTGCTAATTTTATGGACTCAGGGAAAGGAAACTATACTCATCGATCTAAATTTTGTCTACCATTTCAACTTTTTTTTTTAATTTTATTTATTTATGCATATAGAAATGTAGTCCAGGCCAGAAGTGCAGGGGCAGCAAGAGGATTCATCAGAAACAGTGGGGAACAGAACAGGCAGATCAACGGAGTACATTGTTGAGGCAAGCAGAGGGTGAGACAGGAGAGGTCTGCTGCACCATGTGGGTCACCTCCGGGGCTGGGACTGAACTCACACTGAAGCCACTACAGTTTGGTTTGGCAGTGCAGTGGTCTAGCCCACTGCACCACCAGGGAGGGCTCCCACTCCAACTTCTTAAAAACTAGTAGTCACTGAAGGCATTTAAGAACCTAACTAACTGTGTATAAGACATGATACTAGACTTTGGGTCTAAAATGTTTGATTCCATCCAAGAAAGTGTTTACCCAGGGAGCACAGAGGTTGGTTTGGATTTTCCAGAAGGAGACATATAGGGCCTTAAACCCTACACATACTGGTTCCAAGCTACAGCTCCTGTAGTCCAGCAGGGAAAGGGGATAATAACAAGCTTCTCAAAGGCCTGTTTCACCTTTCTCCCATTTGAGCCACAGCTGGTTAAATGGCATTTATTGATAGAACTTGTTTTAAAACATGATGTTCATGATTCTTGTTTCTTCTCCATCAATAATATGTCAGTCAATTGCTTGTCAGAGACACTTAGCTGCTGACAGGTCTGTGTAACTTGACTAAGGTAAACTGCCAAGAGATGCTTGCACTAGAATACAAAAGATACAGATACATTAGACAGGCAGAACCAGGCTGGCCAAGACCTCTCACTACCATTGCATTTAGCAGGGTGCACAAATTATGGCCTAAAAACTGAAGATAATGATAATGAGATATCAGAATGAACAAACTTTTACTTTGTCGCTTTGGGAAAGTTTTGATCTAGATGTTTTTCCAGAGTAACAAAACAGGCTCTTCATTTCAGTTCTAAATTCATTCAGTTTTAAATCTTTTCTTGCCCCTAGAAACCTCTTAATAGCAATGGCTAACATTCCTTGAGGTACTTTGTGGATATATCTTGTTCCTGCTATATGCTCTAGACTCCTGTGAAACTGCTGAGGTATCAATGGGCTCTCCTGTCCCTTATGAAGGTTGAGCATGGCTAAATATTTGCCAGCTGTCTTCTAGAGAATGGGAAATACCTCAAGGCTGGAATTGGGGATATGCAAAGTTGCCAACATCCAATTTAGTTCATATGTTGATTGGGCCAGCTAATTTCCCACGCCAATTTTTGGGATTGCCCTCCCCAAAGCTTCATCCATGACTTTTTAAATAAATTCACATTTTGTACAACTCTTAAAATACACTGTACCAGCTAACGATTTCTCTCCTAATTCAACTGCAATGGGGAAGGGTCTTCCCTGTTCTCACCAGTAGGCTGTCACTCTTCTGTAGCACTGAGAAGGCAAATGCAGGACACGAGCAGTAATGACAAGAAGCCAAACATGTGTATGTTTTACCAGAACTTCCAAGTACCTAGAAAGAAAAGGACAGATGGTGGCATGGCAGACCTTTCCGCTGCTCCCCTCAGCAGTGTACTTCATCCATCTGCCTGTTCTGCTCCCCACTGTCTCTGGTGAATCCTCTCACTGCCCCTGTACCTCTGGCCTGTACTCCAGTTCTGTATGCATAAATAAATCTTTTAAAAATTATTATTGAATAAAAATTAAAAAAAAAAGGACAGATGGGATCAGACTGCAAAAGATATGCTGGAAAACCACTTCCTTGCCTTTAATTTATCTACCTGATAAATTAAGTTGCTCTGCTAATTGCACTGCAGTGATGTTTTAACTTGAGGGAAAACTTCCCTGTGTGCAGACTTCTCCTCCATGTTCTACCCTCAAGGACTTCATGCAATGAAACTGAGTTTCCTGAGTGGCAATTCAAGATGACTTAAACCATCCACACAAGCCATTTTGTTTTCCTACTGAGTAATTAAGAGGGCCCATTCCATGGACTGATTACAAAGAGATGGAGGGCAAAGTACTACACTTCATTGTGGTGTTTCTTAACCTTTGGTTATTTCACATGTAAACAGAAATTTACATGTGTACAAATTTCTAAAGCTTCCACCACACACCTAAAGCGAATACAAAAAGCATAGGGTGAACCACAGGGCAGAGAGTGGAAGACAGAGCAAGAATCTTGCAAAAGGGATGGCTCAGCTGTTCAGGATGGAGGTCAGAAGGAGGCAAGCCCGGATATGCCTATTCATCTGGCAGGATGGAAGGAGGACATAGATAAGTGAAAGGTTGGTAAAAAAGACCCAGTCTAAGAGCAAACAGCCTGTTGGCAGTCAAAGGACAAAAAGATATTTAGGGGAAATTATGTGTTGGTAGTGTGATTAGACAGGTGCAGAAATCACGCGTTTAAATTTCTTCGCCACCAAGCAGGCAAATACAAAAAATGTCGAGAGCTTCATTCCCTACAGTTAATTTCCAAACTGGAAGAGTGAGATTAGTGTCCAAGGGAAGTTGAAACATCCCAGCGGTTATTTTATAATGAACTGATACTTAGGAATTTGCTTCAGGCAGGCTTTCAAATTAGTTTTAGGCCCTAAGATGATAACTAAATGGAAAGGCCAGAATTTTTTTTTTTTTCCCTAATCCAACACTCCCTGGAGTCTTTCTCTCCCACAAGAAAAAGCAACAGGTAAGGCACTAACCATAAAATAGCAGATTCAAGCATTGTACTTCTGTTTCTTAAACTTGATGTGAATACTTGTGTATTTTTTGACCAAGTGAGCGGAGTTGCCTGGAGTTTGTTAGACTACCAGGAGAAGCTATTGACTGGATAAAAAGATACCTACTATACTCATTTACTCCAGTTACAAATTCGGTATTAAAAAACTCACATCTCAGACTCAATTGTGGTAGACTTCTTGATCTCTCCTTCCCAGCCCAAAACCTTCCCTGCCACCATGCTCTGCCACACTCTTAAGTCAGACAAGGTACATCCTGGCATGATGCCCTCTACTTTCTGGAACCAAAGAGGGCACAGCAGTGCTGTATGTTACGTGTCTGGCTCTGCTCAATTCGATGTCAGCTGGGAAGAAAAACTAACCCAGAACCCAGAATAAGGTGGATCCCAATGAGCAACATGAGTTCTGCTCAGTGAATGCAGCTTACAGCAAACAGAAGAAATACGGTTCAGACTTCTAATGAAATATTTCACTGTCAGCTGCTTAAAATTAGGGTCATCCAGAATATCATCTATACCAGCTGAAGAATTTCTTGCATTTGGAAAAGTTAAACTGAAGGGACAGCATTAAAGCACTGTGTCCATTTAATCCCAGAAGAAAATCCACCAATATCCAGCAGTGACATGAAGAATTCCTGGGTCTTCAAATTAGTGTCAATGAGTAAAATTTAGATTTCTTTTTCAGTTATCTTCTGTATCTTTTCTCTGTAGGTTTTAAATGTAAACAGTATGAGTCTCTGGAATTCTAATGCCTTGAAAGGTTCACTGGTCCCTTTCATGGTGGATATGCAGTCTGTGGGACTACTCTGTGGGCTATATTGAGTAAATATCCCATGACTTAATGATGGGGACAAATTCTGCCTTGCCCGATTACTTTCAAAGGCTAAAAGTTACTAAAAGTAAAATGTCCAGCTACCTTAGGCAGTAAATATTGTAGAGATAGTAGATTCTGAACTTGCTTCTTCCTTATCTAGCAGTGGGCAGCTAATGAACCTAATAATCAGGCAAAAAATCTGAGTGAGAAATGTTTAGAACTGGAAATTTACCTTAGGGATCTAACTCAGTTCCTTCATCCTTCAATGGAAAAATGACCTCCTCTTACAGGAATTGCTCCTAGTTCTCCCACTCATAGTCTGGAATGTTTATCCCCAGGAGAGCACTTTTAAAAAAGAAACATGTAAAAAGAGGATACTCAGACCCATGACTAGACTTGTATAAACCTCACTTGGAGGAAGAATGTTCTGGTTTCAATTAGGTTCTGAGGAGGATGACCCGCCTAGATCATCATTCATTCATGACTGGTTTTATCTAATGTCTGTTCCCAGCCTCCTAGGATCCACCCTAGTGGTTAATTGTACTGTTTTTTTGTTCCCTATGTTGCTGCCTCTCTGAAAGAAGATTATACATTCCTGCCTTGAGAAATACACACTGGCTGTGTGACCTGTTTTAGCCAGTAAAATGTGAGTAGACAAGTAGAAACAAAAAATTGGCTTATACCATGTCCTCCTTCCTCTGCTATGTGGGCTGTTTCACCTTCTGGGATCCAAGTGAAGATGCTTTGGAACAGAGTTGCGATTGATTCTTACTAGATATATAGTATAAATGAGATACAATGGTTTTCATAAGCATTTGAAATGTGGGTTAATTAATAATTCAGCCCCTTCTAACTTCCATTTTCCCCCCTTAGTATTATTTATTTATGCATACAAGAACTGGGGTACAAGCCAGAAGTATGGAGGCAGGGTGGAAGGATTCACCAGAGACAGAGTGGGGAGCAGAAAGGCAGATCTACTGAAATACAGGGCTGAGGGGAGCAGCAGATTAGACAAGGAGAGGTCTGCTGTGCCATGTGGGTCACCTCCCTGGCTGGGGATCGAATTGAGCTGCAGTGGCTGGTGATAGCTTGATAATGCTACCATGCCTCCTCTTAAGTGTACAAAAAAGTTTGTAAAAAGCAACTCAGGTGATTTCAGAATAAGTTACCATTACACCTTGAGGACAGTAAGAATATCTGACCTATAATAAGACAACTAGCTGAGTATCAAAGCAGTGGCTGACTTATCATCTCATATCAGCTGCTGAATTAAGCCAAATTATTATATTACTATATAATGAAACCATTAGGGTTAATTTGAAGGTGCTTATAAGATTTCTGCAACCTCATTTAATTCATAATTAAATGTCATAATTCTAAGGAATTAGCTTTTTTATAATGAAAAAAGTAATGTAATATAGGATATGAATGATAAAAGCCATGGCACTCCTGGGAGGAACCTACCAATAATAATCAAAATCTTTAATATTTTAATTACAGGCATAAGTCAGTTTGCATAGGTTAAAAGTTATGTTAATAATGGAACCAAGACAGAAAAGCCTAAAACTAAGACATCAGAAAACTCATATGGTCCTCCTTTTCCTTCAGGGTTTTTTAGCCACATAAAACTCCAAAATACAAACAGAGAATGGAAACGCCTCAGGTACAAATTATATCATTTAGTAGTTCTGAGTATCAGTCACTATGAGAAAATACTAACAGGCAGCCTATTTTAAATACATTAAATCTAAAAGTTTGAACTGTAGTACTCAATAAAACACTTCCCTTAGTGAAGATGCTTGTGAAGATTTTGTCAAGTTAGTTATGCTGTAATGGGGCATGGCAAGCTAATTCACTAAGCACATCTTCAGGGGGTGACTGGAAGTTTGTCTACTATTTTTGTTAGACAGGTAGTATGGAATAACATTTACAAATCCCAGCTGCCAGATGTGCCTATTAATTTACTTTTCTGTATGTTAGTTTCTTGCAACACTTTGCTGGGCTTTTGGAGAAAATTATCAAGAACACATGAAAGTGTTCAGAGTCTGATAAGAGGCGGTTACTTTACAAATCTGCCTATCTTAAGTTGTAGAGGGCAAAATTATCATCCAAGGAGATTGTATGTTTTCAGAACTGTTTGACCCTTAATAAATATTTCTTGACAACAGTGTTGAAAGGTCATTTATGATAGATGAATTGAGCATGCAGAAGAATTTCAACATGCTTGTAAGCAACAGGGAATGAGCATGGGGGAGACAGCAACACATTTACCAGGGCAGGGAGCCATGCCTCCATTATCAAACCACAGGAAAGCAAAAATTCATTATGCTCCACTAGGCCTGAGAAAAAAGCCTCTCCACATTCAGTGCTACTAGGTAAAATTGTTAGCCGTATTTTAATTACTATTGATGTTACTAAATTGGGTCAAAAACTTTTCAGCAGTTCAGGAAATACTTTAAGCTGGTCATCAGCTTCCATAGCTTTATGAAGACCTTTATCCTAAGTGGTTTTGGTCAAGATCATTTCTAGATTTCTACCTGGTAAACATTCCTTCCACTGGGTGAAGAGATTAAGGTGATGGCTTGTCGATCGACTAGGTCCAAGGCTTGGAATGCTGATGAGCCAAAGATAAATTTCAGCCTGGGAACCAGAAAGGCCTCAGATTAGACTGACTTCAGATGAGACACCTCAATAACTTGATCTCAAATATCACCATCCTCAGCATTTTTTAAAAATTCAATTCATTTTAATTTGGAAGACAGTAATATAGCAATCCAATGTCATTAACCTCCCAAAATAAATACTAACATATTGTTTACAAATAAAGATGCCCTCTTTACACTTCACAGTGCTGCCTCCTAGTCTCGCCTTCCCTTCATCCCAGAGGCAACTACATTCCTTTGTTGGTTTTCTTCCTATTAATGTTTTTATACTTTATTATACATAGTACCACATGTGTGTATATGTATATATGTACAAGACACTTCTACATGCATATATAGACACACACGTGTCTATACATATATACACATGGCACTGTTTTGTGAATTTTAAACAAATGCAAAAGGGATATTGTAGACTTTCCTTAAACAAAAGTTCTTTTTAAAATTAATTTTTAATTTTTTTTGGCATAAAACAACTGGGGTGTAGGCCAGAGCTGGGGGGTTGAGAGGATTCACCAGAGACAGAGTGGGGAGCAGAACAGGCAGAATGACTGAAACACACTGCTGAGGGGGGCAGTGGGTGAGACAAGAGAGGTCTGGCGCACCCCGGCCAGGGATCAAACTCATGCTGCAGTGGCTGTGGACAGCTTCACCGTGCTGGGCCTGGACCCCCTAAGCCACCAGGGAGGACCCAAAGATGAATTATTTTTCACTTTTGGATAATTAGGGTTTATTGTTTCCAAATGTTTTATTTTGCTATTATAAATAATAAAAGATAAATATGCTTACTGAAAATCTTTATGATCATCCATGACTTTTTCCTTGATACTTTCTTACAAGTGGAACTTTTGGGTCAAAGAGTATTTATGTTTTAAAGTTCCTGTTGCCTGTTCCAGATTATCTTCCAATTTTATCCTGTTACCCCATGTTCTTTCACTATCTGGAACATTATTGCTGCCATTTTTTTTGGTAATCAGTTTAGAGATGAAAAATTAGTTAATTTTAAATTGTATTTTTTGATAATAGTAACATTTATCTTTTTCCCAGTTTTGATATTTCAATTGTTTTATTATTTGTGCATTTTCTTTGTTTCAAAAGTATTTTTTTCCTAATAATGTAAAATCTTTTGTAAAATTTTAAGAAACAGATTCCTTAAATTCCTACTTTTCTATTTTCCAACTCCTTTCCTACCCCTTAGATAAACAATGATATAAGTTGGCTATTTATCTTTATGGACTCTTAAATATAAGTACACATATGCAGTTAAGTGTTATTTATTTCTAGGTAGATTTCACTGGTTGTTGTTATTGGAAATGTGATTATATCTTTGAACTTTATGTATAAAGGAAACTTTCTAATTTCTGTGTTTTTAATAATAATAACTTCATTCTCTTATGTTTTTAAAAAGTAATTATATCATCTATACATAATAACTTTCCTTGCAGATCAGAATGCTTCTTTTTTATGTGCTAGCAGTGTAGCAGCTACAACTTCTGGAGTGATGTCAACATCAGACAATATGGGATGCTTTGTATAATCAAATATGGTGTTGTTAACAATTCAGCTATTTTTTTTTTTTTAAATGAAGAGTTGATGTTGAGGACTTGGTTCTTAAAATACACCAGTGGTTAAAAGTAAGTCAAATACAAGGGACCCCCTGGAGGCCTAGGGACTAAGTCTTAGTGCTAGCAGCCCTACATCCTGAGTTCAATCCCTAGGTAGGTAGCTAGCCCACATCTGGCACAGCAGATCTCTCCTGTCCCGCCCGCTGCTCTCCTCTGCAGTGTATTTCAGTAAATCCACCTGTTCTGCTCCCCACTGTCTCTAATAACTCCTCTCACCCCCTGGCACATCTGATTACACTCCATTTGTTATATGCAAAAAAAAAAAAAAACAAAAAAACATCAAATACAACAGAATTTATACTTACGATAACAGATGCTCATCAGGAACTGTAAAACAGGAATGGAAAGAAAATTAATCGTGTTAATTAAACCCATGGCCATAGTCATAAAAATCTTAAAGAAGAAACTTTTGTATAAGATGGTGAATTGAACCTATGAGTTTAATTTGCTCTTTCCAGTACTCCACTAAACAATAAAAATATTTTTTAAAGCATAAATTCTGAAGGATGAGGACAGAAACAACCAAAAAATAATGTGCAAGGCCTGAGAAAAGAACCCCAAGCATGCAGTGGGATAAACAGGGGCAATGTGATATACATTCCAAAATCCACTGTCCAATTCCCAGTGCCCCATAAGAACGTGGTGGTTCCAGATAGCTCTAGAGGTTGGAATGAAATGGGGCTAAGACTTTGAAAATAAGTTTAAGGAGCAATAGGATGTTTATTCCTGCTAATAGTTTTATGTGACTGCTCCTCCCTCACTATGGCAAAATAGTAGGTTTATTTTCTGGAGAGATTCAACTATAGCATGAATATCTGAGTGGGGGTAAATAGTAGGCAAATATTAGCACTGAAAAAGGGGAACTTCTCTTTTCCTTGACATGGCTTCCATAATACAGGCAATCAGGTTTTTCCTCTCTAGGCTGGAGATTGAAGTTTTTCCTAGGGAATTCCACCAGCCCAAGAATACCATTAGAAAGTTTATTATGGTGAAATTTATAGGCCTGAAGCCCTTCCATCAACACAAAGCTTCAAACAAAATTTTAATCTCCCACTCTTAAACATGACCAGACAACAAAAAGAATAAAAGGAAGCTAATTAGAGAAAAAACTAGAGAGAAAATTTCAAAGACCTATCAATAATATCAGAGAAAATATATGTCAGTGTAATCATAAATTGGCACAAATGATCACAATGAATCTTGAAGGAAAAAAGTTTTAAGTTAAAAACAGATATGAGTCCCTCCCTGGCGCAGCATGTGAAAGCACTGCACTAAGAAGATTAAGCCACTTCCTCATGAGTTTGATCCCCGCCTGCCACGAAGGAGATCCACATGGCGTGGCAGACCTCTCCCGCCCGCTGCTCCCCTCAGCAGTGTACTTCGTCGATCTGCCTGTTCTGCTCCCCACTCTGTCTCTGGTGAATCCTCTCACCCTCCGCATCTCTGGCCTGTACCCCAGCTCTGTATGAATAAATAAATCTTTAAAAAAAAAACAAAACAAAAAGACAGAAATGAGGGGCCCTTGCTGGTGGCGTAGCTGGTTAAAGCACAGCACTATGAAGCTAAAGCCACTTCAGCATGAGTTTAATTCCCAGCCAGGGAGGTGACCCACATGGTGCAGCAGACCTCTCCTGACCTGCCTGCTGCTCCCCTCAGCAGTGTACTTTGTCAGTGTACTTTTTTTCTGCCTGTTCTGCTCCCCACTGTGTCTCTGGTGAATGTTCTCACTGCCCCTGCATCTCTGGCCTGTATCCCAGTTCTACATGCATAAATAAATCTTTAAAAACAAAACAAAAAAACAAAAAACCAGAAGTGAGAACTTCAATAGAAAGTCTGTTCCATACAGTTGAAGAAAAGTTCTCCAAAGGCAGGTAAGTAAAAAAGATACAGGACCTGAAAAGGAGAAGAGAATATAGGAGAAATGGTAAGTCAATAAGAGGAACTATTGGATATTCAGTGATAAAATACAAGCCAGAAAGAGATGAGAAAACAGGAGTAAACAGATCAATCGAATAATACAAAATTTCAGACAAGGATATGAACTACTAGCTTGAAAAGACCTATCATACAATACAATGAAATGAAAAACAGAAAAACACCTTACCAGAAGATTCAGAACTAGGGTTTTATAGAGATCATTCAAATTTCCAGTATGGGCCACATACCAGAAGTCTGAATGTAGTGAAACAAAGCTTTCAGGAGTCTGAAGAAATTTATTTAAAACATATAATTCAATACCTAGACAAACTATCAATTAAATGTGAGGGTTGAAAAATACGTTTTTGGACATGTAAAACCTCAAAAAATACACCTCATGCATTCAGGAGGTAGAGTACATGCTTTATAAAATTATGTAGTAACTAAGGAAAAGAATGTTGTAGAATAAACACAAGGCTCAACATAGATACAGGGGATTTCCAGGGCTATAATAGTGAAAGGAGATCTTGGTGTTCAGTCCTAAATGAAAAGGCTATAGAGGAGATTTCTTCAGGAAAATAAAATTGATAAACTTTGAACTGAATATCTTGAGTTAGAGACTTAGAATTCTACAAAGAGATTGAGATTAAATCATGGGTAAACAAAACCGACATTGTTAAAATTTTAGGTAAAGCAAAAAGTTACACAAAAAGTAAACATAGGCCCTCCCTGGTGGCGCAGCGGGTTAAAGCACAGCACTGAGAATCTAAAGCCGCCTCCGTATGAGTTCGATCCCAGCCTGCCCCAGAGGTGACCACATGGCGTGGCAGACCTCTCCTGACCCGCCCGCTGCTCCCCTCAGCAGTGTACTTCGTCGATCTGCCTGTTCTGTTCCCCGCTCTGTCTCTGGTGAAGCCTCTCACCACCCCTGAGCCTCTGGCCTGTACCCCCAGTTCTGTATGCACAAATAAATAAATCTTTAAAAAAAAAAAAGTAAACATAATCACAGCTTCCTACCTGGCTCAAGTGTGACTAGTTTCTATATTATCACACAAGTATAAACTCATCATCTTGACCTAGGAAGAATGTATGGCCATCCAGAACAAAGGTTTTGAAATAGAAACCATACGGTTGAAAAGAAACACAAATCAATGGCATTCTCCTTCAAGATCTTTTGGATTACTCATTGAAACACAGTTCCCACTTTTGGCAACTACTGAGTCGGTATCAAGTTGGCTTTTGTCCATCCTTTTAGAGATCCGAATGTGCCTGAAAAATAGGCTGGCCTAATTATGACATATACACTTAAGTCTGGGTTAGTTTAAACTGAGAAGGCAAAAACTGGTTTACAGGTCTATGTCCTTTAAAAACTAACAGGAGATAAACCATTTCAAGGTCCTATCCTTTAAAACAAACTCAATCCAATCGACTACACAGTGCAGTTTTGATGCCTGTTCTGATATTTACTAAATGGCCATTTTTATATTCGTTGAATAGTTCCGATTAGCTTGCTTTATAATTCTTAATACTAGGCTGTATCTTGACAGCAGCTCAGTGACTGTGGTAAACCCAGTCACAGAGCATCCTCTGCTGGTCAGAAGAAAAAAAGGGATTTAACTATTTCCAGGTTTACTCGTCACTAAGTATACATTTGTTTTGTGGCCCAACTACAGTTGCTGAACTAAGAGTATGAGAGGGAGTTTTAAAATTAATACACATTTTGAGGAGAAGACTACGGCAAGTCAAATAATGCCACGATTCCCCTTAAAGTCCAGTTCCTTTCGCCCTCCACACCGGGGGTCCTCTGGAGTCCGCCGGCAGCACTCAGAATTTGCTTCCCCACCGGCCAGCTCGCTCCCCGACCGAGCACGGCTAGTTTCTTTCTTTTCTTTTACAAGTAGCAGGTTTGGAAATGGAAACACGCGGGGAAAGAGCATGGACAGACCCCGGAGAAGAGTGCAGATGCGGGGGCCTGAAACCCGGGTCCCGAAATCAGCGCCCCCCAGGCCCTGGCCCCACTTCCCGCCCCTCGGCCGGGCGGGGCAGCACCCACAACCGAGCTAGGCACCCGCCGGCCGTACTTCGCGCGCTCTCCCGCACCGCCGCCGCCATCTCGCGCAGCAGCTCCTCCACGACCGTCGGCAGAGTGAGCGCCGACGAGGCGACGGCCATGACTGCACTCAGATCGTAGCCTCCTCCCAAGGAGCGGGGGCTGGGATCCCGCAGCAGGTAGGTGGAGACCTCCCGCGGTCAGTCGCGAGCCGCGCGTGGCTCCGTGACGTAGGCGTGCGCCGTCGCGCGTCCGGGTGGCAACGATGACGCCAACGCCTACGTCAAGGACCGGCCAATCCGGCGGGCGCTCGCTGCTGGGGGCGGGGCGTCCCGGGATCCCGGGATCCCGCGGGGCCTGCAGTGCGCAGAGGACGCCGCCGGAGCATGTACCGGCTCCTGAGCTCGACTTTGGGCCGTGGCCTCTTGCGGGCCGCCGGACGGCGGTGCCAGACCTGCTCCGCGCGCCTGTGCCCGGAGCCGGCAGGAGGCCGGGCGCCCGACGTGGGGGCGCCGCCAGCCCGAGTCGCGCCGCACGCCCGGCGTCCGGGCCTGCTGCCGCTGCTAGCAGGTGAGGGGCGCGGGTTGGGCAGGGCCGGCCCGGTGGGGAAAGGGCGCGGGCCGGGCCGGGGCGGCCCGGGTGACCACAGAGTCCCTTCCCGCAGTGCTTGCTTGGTTTTCGAGATCCGCTGCGGCAGAAGAGGAGGAGCGGCAGGGAGCGGGCGGGGCCGCCGCAGAGGACGCGGCGGACGAGACCGAGGCGGAGATCATCCAGCTGCTGAAACGGGCCAAGGTGAGGCTCCTGCGCGTAGCTTTTACATTTGCAGAAAATTAAAGGGAGGCTCCCAGGTGAAATTGCCCAGAAGTACATGGGTCATTAGAAGGAGGGGGGGGGGTTGGGATACATGCAGGCTCGTTAGACTCAAGCCTGCAGTAAATCTGCTGCAGTCTCGAGTGCAGGTGAAGATGGCATCACAGGCACCGCTCTGTATCCGAACAAAGTAGCGGAAATGCATTGTAGTTATTTTCATCAGTGAAACAAATTTTGGCATAACAAATTTTGCACCTGTAAATGTAATTTCAGGTTGATTTGGTGGGGGCTGGTTATCGTCTTTCTTCCCTCCCCCCCCCCCCCCC